GTGTCCAAACTTTTGACTATACTGTACTATAATATAGCCTACACATAAAGAATATCGGCCGATATATCGGTATCGGTCTTTTTTTACTCCCTAATATCGGTATCGGCATCGGCCCCCAAAAAACCCGCATCGGTCGGGCTCTAATGTTTTATAAGAATTTAATAAGAAGAATAAAAATTCTATATAATACTATATTTTATATGAAAATACTGTTTCAGTCTTTCTACTTCAAAATTGCCAGTTTAATTCAGTGTGTTCTTTTTAACTATTTTTTAAACTTTTGTAGCGATTTCTGAGTGAAAATTGTTTTAAAGTAAATTTTACACCTACAAAAATAGTAGAAACCGTTTTCACTCAGAAATTGCTAGTAAATTTGACAATTAATTTCAAAGAAATGGCAAATAACATTGATTTAAGCATGAAATTTCAAAGTAGAAAGACTGAAATAGATATAATCCAATATCCTAGTTTTAAATTTAAGTGTGAGAAGCCAATAAAGTGTGTTATATATAAAAACATCTTCAATTCAACGTGTTGAATATGTATGTATGCATCTATGTGTGTGTGAATAAGCCTGTTGTTTTGTGTTTTTGTTTTTTTGCAAAGACTTTATTCATTTTTTTATTGTATTTTTTTATATTTATTTTTATATACTTTTTATTCATACTCTAATAATCTCTTTAATTTACAACCTTGAAAATTCCTCTTTTTTTATAGCAGACAAAAGTCCAATTTTGAGTCTTCAAGAAAGTAAATGGTGTACATTTTTCATTGTTGATTTCATGTTGTCTTGAAAACAGTCAGCTGGCTGTCCTCTGAAGCAGAATCTCAGGACGGAGGTCAGATAGTCATGCAGAGGCTAATATTAGCACAGATCTGATTCTGTGCCTGCTGATGTTAGAGACAGTTTCTGTGTCACTGTTTAATGAGACTGTGATTCTGCCTGTAAACATGCAGAACAGATACCCGAGGAGGGCCATTACGGCTCTTGAAGTGTCTCATTCTTTCCTCTGTTATATAACGTGTTTGTGTTACAGGTGGTTGTGTTGTTATGGTGAACTCAAACTCATTCTCAGGTGCAATTAAAACTCATAAATATGAATCTCACGAAGCCTGTCAACATGATTTTCTTTTTATATTTTTCGAATAGACTGCACAAGGAATTTTAGACAATAAAATAGTGTAGCAGACTGTGATATTTAGCGAGGCCTTTAATGAGAAAGATTATAATGGACAGAGTAAGCGAGCTGGTGATAAAGGTGTGAAGGTGTCTGTTTAAATGGCCCCAACGGCACAGATGGTATTCAGTGAATTAGCTGAGATGGCCTGTAATTCTCCTGCAGTGCAGACGGATTTGTGAGTATTTTTGGAGAGAGAAAGTCCAGGGAGAAAATGAGTGAAGGAGAGAGGGATGTTATTGTGAGCAGAGTTATACAGTAAGAATCGACACAGGCATGTGTGTGTGTGTGTGTGTACTATTGCTTGTACACGTGTGTTTTGATACAGAGATGCACATTTTGATGATAGAGGCTGCAATGGACTTGCTTATCTCATTTAATAACAATTTAATATCAAATTATGAAATTGAAAAAATTGCTTAAACAGTTAAAGCAATAGTTAACCCAAAAAAAGGAAAATGCATCTGACATTAGTTACTTCCATTTCATGTTATCTCCAAAAAGATGAGGATTTTTAATGTTGACTGCTTTTATACAGATAGGTTAGTTTAGTTTCCTTTTATTTGAGTGAGCAATTGTTCTGTTCGCTCAAATCAAATGCACATATGAACACCTTTTTCCCAAACGTAAACATCTAGAATATGTGTACTCAGATGTAAAGTTTGCTGATGTGTTGGCAGTTTAGTGGATGTTATGGAAGACCGTTTCCACCACAGAATAAAAAAGGTAAAGTTTTCATGAACACAATTCTTTTTTCTCACAATTTTGAGGGGAAAAAAAGTAGAAATTGCAAGACATAAAATCAGAATTGTGAGATATAAAGAAAAAAAGTCTGAATTGTGAGATTAAAAAGTCGCAATTGCCGTATGCTTTTTATTCCGTGGCAGAAACAAACAAACAAACAGTATTGTGAGATGTAAACTCAGAATTCAGAGGAAAAAAAGTTAGAATTGTGAGACATAAACTCGGAATTGCAAGAAAAATCAGAATTCTGAGTTTATATCTCTCAATTCTGTTTATATCTTGCAATTCTTACTTATTTTTCTCAGATTTGCAAGAAACAAAGTTCAAATTGTGAAATATCAACTTCAATTGTAAGGAAAAAAAGTGAGATAAAAAATGTTCAGAATCTTAAAATATTTTGTTTTCATTTTACATGATAGTTTTTCATTGTTTAAACCTTTTTAAAATCCTGAAAACTTCTGTTTAATTAGAGGTTTAAATTATAGAAATCACAGATTTTTTTAATGTGGTTTCAGACTTTTGAGTACTTTTGAATGTGCACAGGTCAATGACTTTTAAAAAATGCTGTAATTTTTAATAGCCATCAATGGAGGAAGATATTTTTGGGTCCAGATGGTGTTACGGAATCTACCAGCAGGGGCTAACTGGGGCATGCTAACCAGCAAATCCTTGACCTGGTCTAGATACCAGACATGTACTTTTAATGTGAGCCAGCAGAAGTGCATTACTTTCGGTTGTGTGGGCTTACATTCAGTAACAGTCCGACTTCCCTGTAAGAGCCTTTCTGGGAGTAAATGGTGTCAGTGGAGGTTTTCATTTTCGAAAGTAAAAGGTTGTGTGCATGCATGCCCTGTTTTAGAGAATCTCACTGATTGATTGTTAACATGAGAGCGGCTTTCATTTATCCTTCACTTGTGCTGCAGCATCAAAGTCAATGACATGCGCCTGCACTTTCAGAAGAGCATGTTAGTTTGTATATGTGTGTGTGCAACACACATGAGATCCTTCAATCAATCACCGGGCGTCTCAGAGGCTGCGGGAAGCACTTTTCTAGAAGAGAATCATATTTCCAAGTAAAATAATACACAATTGCTTATTTTTACAGGTGTATGTGTGAAAATGTATGGAGCACTTGATTCTGATTTGTCAGTCATGGCATTCTGCAAAAATGCCCAATTCATGTCGATTCATTCCTTTATTTGAAATTTCGCTTGCATGGTTTAGGGGAAGGTATATCAGTATTTTCTTCTATATAAACGCAGCTAATATTTGTAGGCCTGAATGGGAGTTTACTGTATGAGTCACTGAGGTTTAGGGCATGACGTAAATCTTTGTGTGTGTAACTATGTAGGATTTTAGGGATTAATTTCTCTGCTAAGCAGTAAATAAGCCCACCCCTTCATGCAGATGGTCAATTTGGCATTTCTCAAACAGAATGGTTTTGTTAAAAATATTGCACAAAAAAAAAAAAATTTTCAAAAAAGTATGACAATGAAATTCAGTCCAGAAGTCTCTTTCCAGTGGTGTATTTAGTCTCTGCTGGAGAACATTCTCTCTGTTTGTTTAAGACGCATTGGTTAAATGGATGGGTGAATGGTAGAATGAGTATGTCATCAGTGGAAAAAAAATGAATCAGACGAACGATGCTGATATAATCAGGTTGCTGCCTCTCGATAATTGAATTTCCACTGATATGTCATGACCGAGAAATGTACTGTACTTCTCTGCCACATTGTTTTGTTTTACAAATTTTGGCTCTTGGAGCAATTTTAGTTGTTCTTACAGGCCCTGTTTAGCAATTAATGTTAACATAAAATGCCACTCACAACCTGTGACATACCTGTGATACAGAATATTTAAGTCATTTTTGTTCATATAATTATGTTGTTTAAAAGCAACTTTACAGCAAAATCATGCAAAATCTTGAGCAAACCAAAGGCGACTGTGGCCAGGAAAAAACTTCACAAAATGTTTAGGTTGCATTTGAACAATTGCAATTTATTAATTGTCTGTCCTTTTTTCCTGTGTTAGGTGCAATGGTCCATGCCATCTCTGTCTGTAGTAGCTGGTCTGGAAGGAGAGGGTATCTGAAGAACGACAACTCCATGAACTAAAAATACACTCACAAACAAGTCACAGGAATTCACAAACTGACCAGAACGGGAAAAGGATCTGTTTCATTCTGTTTATCTCTTCTTCAGTCTTCATCTCAGTGTCTCTTTGTGTTGTACTGTTATGACGCCATGTCTCAAACAGGGAAAGTCCTTCATTTGTATGTGGAGGTGAGATCCTCACCAGAGCATGATGGGAAAGGTAGTTCCTGTGAGACGACAGTGGAGCAAGATGGTCCCGTTGAAGCTTTGACCAAATTAGCACAGGCAGCATCTGGGTTTCCCGCACCTCCCAGCAGCTCATTCAAACCAAATGTTAGCTTCAGACTGCAGCCTTCACACAGTTCTTTGGATTCCCCTCAAAGATGCAGCATTCCCCAACAGGAACCATTCCAACAGGTGCCCTCTGTCCTCAACAACAACATTGACAGTAAACAATTAAAACATGCCCACTCGTCATACTCCGGACAGACATCTGGTCCCGGAACGCCTTGTCAAACCTGCAGCCATCACAAGAACTCTAAACCAGAGCTCAGACAGAGGTCCGTGGTCACTTTCAGCTACATTGAGAAGGCCCAGATCAAAACCGTAGAGAGTCCTTGTAATAGCCCCGGTGGAATAAAGGAGGTAGCGGCTTGCCCACGTAAGAGGTATAGTGATCCAGTGTGGTCGCAACCTGCGGAACCTTCCTGCAATAATAGTCCATTTCACCAGCACATGGGTTCTACTTTGATTTCTATCGGTCAAGTTGCAACACAGCGAGCCCTGAAGGAATTTGGGTCTCCCCAATTGAGGTGCAAGTTTTCTCATTGCTCAGAGTGGAGTCCAGAGTTTCATCAACACCAGAGGGAACGATGCCAGTCTTGGGCAGGTCCACCCATGCCAAACTGCAGTGCCTACCGCCATGATCCTGACCCAGGCAGGGTAGGAGCTGCGTGTGGTGTCCACAAAAGCCCAGCATCAGATGCTTTCTCATCCCACACAGGGCACAACAGCCAGCAGAAATCCACCTCCAGGTCCCAAGGATGCCCCAAGCAGAACCTCATTTCAAAGCAAGACTGCTCTGCTCCAGTCAGTCAAAGTTCGGGAAGCTGGGGTGAAGGCAGGCCTCTGTCAGAGCAAAGGACCAGCCTCACAAACACACCCACTCATGGTTTGAACCAGCTGAGTGGAAGCAATTACTCCTCAGCTCTGAACAATCCTGAGATAGTCCACAAGATTGCTGAAGAGGCCACCAAGGTGTCAACAGTTTTCAACGAGGTCCGAAGTTCTCCTCCTCCCGTTGTTTTTGGGGGTTTGTCTAATCTAAGCAGCACAAACTATGGGTATCCTTCTAGAGAAATCCAGCATGAGACCTTACAGCAGAGTCCATTGCAGCATTCGGCTGTCAAGATGAACATACCTGTGCATGAAGACCGTTCTACGACAAATGGGGTGCATGAAGCACCAGCTACTAAGAGCTCGGATTTAGGAGATGACCTGGCCAATCACTCATTCTGCTCTGTCCCAGTGGGAGGAGACCCTGATTCTCCGGCCCTTCCATCACGTCTTCTTCGTCCAAGTCTGTCCAAAGCAGATGTGTGTTCTCCACTCCGAGATCCACGCCAGCTTAGAGCTGACCTGCCAGTCTCTGACAGCCCCACTTTACACCGTCACAAGCCTCCACAGTACACTGGAGAGGAGTGGACATCTGGGGAAACCTGGTTCCTGGACGAGGAGGACTGGGATTACCATGTCGTCGCAGAAAGCGTGGAGATCTCCAGGCGGTTGTTTATCGGTCAGAGTGTGGACGATTCTCCGGTCAGTTGGACATCTAGACAACAGTGGAAAGAGCAGGCAAAGAAAGAGGAAGGGAAGTTCAGTTTGTCAGAAAAACTTGAAGGTAATCTCAACAGCAGCAGTCCAGTGTACAGAAAAAGCGATAGGGTTGAGGTCATAGAACGAGGAGAGGAGAATGTGAGCAATTCGTTATGTAAAGCAAACCACGGCCCTGGGGAAAGTGTAGAGGAGGTGACCAGGCTAACACAGCAACAGAGACAGGCAGAATGGAGGAGAAGACAGGCCTTGCTTCTAGGGCCGGTGGTATTAGAAGAGGGAGACGGAGAGAGAGGAGAGGACGAACAGGGGTTTGGAGATCAGCAGGGTTTGGTTGGGTCATCCCCGAGCTCTAGTGGAGTAACGGGAAGCCTAGGAGACAGAGATTGCATCTCACCTGAGTCCAGCCAGAACAGCAACCAATCGGATCACCCATCATCAGGAATACAGGTGAGACCCTGTTCATGAAAGCATTCTTACATTTAATGATTGAATTCAAACAATGTTCATAACAGTGTTCCTTCTAATGAATGAGGCCCGTTATTTGCTAGTACATTGAGTTCACTGTTTATTATAAGCTAATGTGTTTATATTGTGTGGGTGTTGCAGTCTGATGGCGGTTCTTTAGTGCCAGGTCCATCTCTGCACTGTCAGAAAATTGCTCGTGCCAAGTGGGAGTTTCTGTTTGGCACTCCAGCAGAAAACATTGCCAGCAAACAAGAGAAGAGTAAGTAGCCTGTTGACCTCTTTAATATCAGTTTCAGTGATCACTTAGATTCATCATTAGGAATTAAGTGTTGTTTTCTAGGATTATTTTAAGGCAGAAGTACATTTAGGTGGTTTCAAGTGAATGAAAGTGTTTGAGTAACTCACCACATTGAGTGTTCTCATATGAAAGTGGAATAACACTTCAATATAACTGAGCTGAAATACAGTCATCAACAAAACATTGTCGGTATTAACCCAAATTGATATAGTTCACTTCATAGCTGAATAAATATTGTTTGTTATCCACCTAGATGTTCCAGAATCCTCCACAGCTCCACCAAGTGGCCACTCCACCCCAATACCACCCTCTTATCTGCCATTGGAGGAGCTTGCTCTCAGAGCTAATCATGACGTCCAACACGTGGAGGTGGAGCTAGTGACTCCGCCCCCCACTGCCCCAGGCACCTCCCCCAAAACAGGCATAATTCGGCGAACTTTGAAATACTCCGAGACCGATCTGGACGCCGTTCCGTTACGATGTTATCGGGAGACAGACATAGACGAGGTGCTGTTAGCAGAGCAAGAGGACGCCGACTCAGCGTTTGGAAGTAACCGAAGTGTCATGGGAACTTCCTGTGCTGGGAGCAGCCCGCTAGGAGAGATGCCGAATAAAAGAACAGATGGACAGGAGGAGGAGGAGGAGGAGGAAGAGGAGGATGTTGCGAGCTGGGTCACTGTCAGGATGCAGGGCGATGTGAGGAGGCTGTTGGCCGATCAGGAGCGAGATGAAGAAGAGGAGTTTTACAGCATGATGCTAAAGAGGTGGGAAGTGGCAAACACACTATTTTTTTTTTAAGAAGCGATTAAACGATTCATTATGGTTCAGAATATCAGAACTAACAAGCCTATCTTTTTCTAGGCCCCAAGATCGTTTCAGTAACGACCACCCAGCTCTAAAATCTCCCATCCTGGTCCGTGGTCCTCGCAGAAGGTCCGGAGACAGTTTGGACACATTCAGCCGGCATTTTGAGAACATCATGGAGTCACACCGTGCCAAGGGCACCTCCTACAGCAGTCTGGACAGTCTTGACCCTCTGACCTCTAGCACTCAAACTGTCCTGACCTTTGACCTCCCCACACTGACTCCACAGGTGCAGGGTCAGATCTACCAGAGTGCCCGGCAAATCGTGGCGCTCAGCTTCGCTCCACTGGCACACATAGAGATGCCCAGCCTTTCAGAGTCAGCGCTGACGATAACAGGGGAGACGGATGCCACACGAGCGCCATCCAGTGAACGTCTCAGCAGCGGGTCCGACGATCGCAATGGACAGAGCTGGCAGAGCAACCCACCACTTTCACTGCCCAGGTTTGTGTCATTTTCATCACTGAAGTGAGGAATTGTATGTTTTGGGTAGAAGAACTTAATAATGTGCTCTGGTTGTAGAAGGTCATCTGTGTAGTATGGAAGTATGCCATTCTGAGGCTTGTCCAAATACTCACACTTGCGGTCTTGGCCACTTGGGAGCACATGCATGCAACAGAAAGTAAGTGCACAAAACTGTCCCAGGACTTAAAAACACGACTCAAATAGTGTATCCCATCATGCATCATGTTCTGAAAATAACCCTCCAGATTTTTTTGCCAAGATCTCGCGAGAGGTTGTAGAAACCTTTCCAGTGTAAGTTTAATGTTGATAATAATTAGATATTTAGGTAGTAAAACAAAGTGTTGCATGTTTTATTGGTGCAAAGATGAGTATATTTATTTTGTACAACATTTGCAACTGCTTTTTATCACTTAATTAGAAGCACCACAATTATTAAATAGTGTCGTCTGTTATAGGGACTACTGAACAGACATTTAGAAGTGTATTTTAAAAGGAAAAGTATTGAAAATCAAAATAAACCTCTATAAACGCTTGCATTTTTACAACACTATAAGTGAAAAGTTGTGGTCTTCAGGTCCACTTGAACACTTATAGGAAATACGTCATGTAAGTATACAAGTGGTCAAGTGCAAAGACGGCAAGTGTGTGTATTTGGACAAACCCCGAGTAATATATTCTTTGCAATAGCTCTGTTTCTCCAGCAGAGGGAGTAAGCAAGCAACAGTTTCCTTTGAAGTAAAACATACTGCGATTTTTGTTTACTATGACTTAAATATTGGTGAATCTTAAGTAAACCGCCAAGAAATGTTCAGGTTATATATCACCCCATAATCAAGAGTACTTTTTGTGAGATTGATGTAGAGGTTACCTGATATATTACCCCAAACCAGGGTTTAGGGTAACTAAGTAATCAATATACAATAATATGTTATATTTAATGTATTTTATTTATTTTTTAATATATGTACATTTCATTTGCAGCTTGGTTTGACAGGTTAACTGAATTGCTTGAGGTGGATTCTAAGCAATATTTATTTTATCTATCCAAGTGTAGCTAATTTACTGCGTAATGATTCTGAATGACCTATTAGCCTATTGGTTTAACCTTTTCCATCTGCTGTCCCTGTGACTTGACTGCAGGCTGAGTTTAGACAGGTGTGTGTGTGTGTGTGTGTGTGTGTGTGTGTGTGTGTGTGTGTGTGTGTGTGTGTGTTTGTGTGAAGGACAGATGAAAGGCAAAGACGATTGCTGGCAGAGAACAGAAGTTACTGCCGCAAAGATCACCTTGAGACGCATAGAAACCCAGGAGGCTGGGAATAGTTTGAGAAATTATATATATATTTTCAATCAGAGGAATGTTGCTCCATAAATCCTTATTTATAGGATGAATAATGTGATATTTTATATGTCCCGTGTCTCTATTCTGTTTTTGTCTTATAAAAAAAAAAAAGTTAGCACCTGTTCTAAATGTTATGTATTTGGAAGCACAGTGAAGCACTGCTCTACAATATTACACTACCATCCTGTAGTAGCTAAAGTAAACCACTAGGTGATGACAATCATTCATACGTTCTATTTGCAGAGGCGTCAGTATTAGAATCAAGCACACCATTAGAATGAAAAGAATCACTATTGCAATTGCCCATAATGATCAAACTTAACACATCTCATCAGAAAATATTGTATTGAAAATCCCTGCATTGGATCAGGTGCAACAGTTTTAAGTATAAACGCAACATAATGGATTTGCACTGGTCAGCCAACCTATGAACCAATCAGATCCTTAGTTGTCTTATAATGAGTGCTCATTTGTTATGCCAATTAAAATGTGTCTGTTGTTCATTTAGCATGGCAGGAACAGTAGCAGCATTGTGGAGGTGCTTAGCCAAACGTTAAGCCCAGTGACACAGAAAACCCCAGTCTGAACTCTTTCTTTAGCTTTCTCCATTTCTCTCTTTCGTTCTATGTTTCGACTACATAGGTAAGAGTGCAGAGAACATAGTATAAGGTTAATCATCAAGTGGACTGTATGTGAATATACACTACCATTCAAAATTTGATCGGATTGGTAAGATTTTTTTAAAATGTAAAATTTTTACAGTTTAAATTAACTGCTTTCTATTTAAATATGTTTTAAAATGTAATTTATTGCTGTAATCAATGAATTTTCAGCATCATTACTCCAGTCTTCAGTGTCACATGATCTTTCAGAAATCATTCTAATATTCTGATTTGTGACTCAAGAAACATTTCTTATTATTACCAATATAGAAAACTGTTGTGCTGCTTTATATTTTTGTGGGAAATGATACATTTTATTTTCTAAATTCTTTGATGAATGGAAAGTTCAGTATTTATTTGAAATAGAAGTATTTTATAATATTATGCATGCATTTTAATGTCTCTTTTGATCAATTGAATGCATCCTTGCTGAATGTCAGTTTCAGAAGCATGCCAGTTATCAAATACTGTATATGAACAAGACTTATTCTGGCTTCCCCATGCACTGATTTATTGGCTGTTTACCGCAAAACTGCACTACAGGGTTTTAGGACTAACAACCACACTTACTGTAAATGCAGAAGCAAATACCTTTAATTATGATTCAATGTGTAATTTTCAATCTAAGTGATTTTAGTTGTAGCCGGTAAATAACTAAACTATGTCCAGAGAAAAATTAAGCACTCATTTGAGCAGTGAATGTATTCATGTGTGTGTGTGTGTGTGTGTGTGTGTGTGTGTGTGTGTGTGTGTGTGTGTGTGTGTGTTCAAATGATTCATTATTCAACTATTCTAAAGAGAATCATGGGAAAGAAAACAAGAGGTTTGTACATTTTAAACAGTGTGTGAACTGAGGAGCCGCTGTAGAGGGAGAGATTGAGAGATGTTACATGCCACACCGCACTGAAGTCATTAGAGCGTCAGCAATGTTCACAAAGAGAGAGAAAGCAGTGGGAAACTCTTTGGGAAAGAAATATCTGGCAAGTTTGTGAGCTAAACAGTTCAAGGATGGATTGAACTTTCAGGATCTTTGGAATCAAGATATTTAACGACTAAAAACAGATTGATTCAGTCACAAAGAGATTCAGACAGCAGCATTGGTCTCATATGTCCACAAACACCTGAGGAGATAGTGAGAGCGTAGTCTCTGGACAAACGACTCAGGTGGACTGCGAAAAGCTGAGCATTAATACAAACATGGCTGAGGTCCAGAGAATCGCATCAGAGAGGCGTTTTGGCAGAGATGGTCTGAGAAAAAAAGCCCACTCCGTGTTTTGCTGGCATTGCTCTATGCTGAAGGAGAGGAGCGTCCTGACCCGCTGTCACACACCGTACAGGTAGAAACTGTTTGGACAGGATGCAGATCATCACTGTATTGCTGTATTAATCTGTCATTGTCCTAATGAATGTAATATAGCAGTATTTAGCAGAAAAGGCTAGCATTACTATTTTTATTGTTTATAAATTGGTATTAGAAAACTAAAAACGACCCAGAACACCTACAACGGGCAAACAACACTCACTTTTGAGAATCTTCATAAAATGTTCAAATTATTACAGTGAAGTTATTTTTATTAATGCATTTTTTTCCCTTTGGTTCTTACAAAATTATTTCTTCTAAATTGTTCACATTTAGATGATCCATCCAGAAATATGGAACAGTGTCATTTTAGTTGCTATTATTACTATTACAGGGTTTTTTTTGTTTTTTTTTTTATTAGATTTTTCTTTTTTTTTTTATTGTTTTTTGTCATTTTTATTTCTATTTTTATTTTTAAATGCGTGTGTATATAGTTTTAACTACATTTTAGTTTTAGTTTTTTTAGAACTTCAACTTAAACTAAACGAAAATGAGAAACAAGCTAAAATAATATAAGTTTGCATTGTTTCCTATATTTTATTTCAGATATTGTTTTTTATTTAAAGTAATGAAAATAGTTTTAGTTTCAGTTAGCAATAATAACCCAGATAGGGAATAAATAGTCATTCTTGTCTCTTTAAGAAGTGTTTCTGTGCTTCCAGACGTCTTTGTTTGAGTTTCACACATTTCTGCTCATGGTTTGTTTTTGGTGTGGATTTAGTGTGAGTCACTGATAAGAAGGGGTGAGGACTGCTGGCATTCATTTATAGAAACCAGGGGAAATCAGATCAATAGAGCACAATAACAATTTAACACAATTACGAAATAGAAATGATTTCAGACTCTAAATCTGTTTGTGTTCGTTATCTAGCTTGGTGACCACGATTTATGCCAAAATCCCACAGATACTAGTTACGTCAATGTTACTAGTGTAAAATCACTCGTTTAATATGTGATATCCTTTAAACAATGTAAGAAACTCATTTAGCTGAAAGTCTTCAGAGAACATTCGTTTAACATGTTTTTGGTCACTACGTAATTCCAATACTTCAATTTGTAATGACTTTGATTATGTTATTGAAAAAGTTGAAAATTATAATATGGATGAGGTGTCAGAACTTGCAATACATTTTACTAAGCTTATATACTGTATCTTATAATGTGCTTCTTATGGGAATCTTACTGTACATGAAAGGGTGCTTCCTAGTCTATTTCTGTTTTCATCACTTAAAGTATTAAAGTGGTGCAATGGTTCTGTGATGATGTACTGAATGTTATGGTAATAAATGATAACCATGCTTGTACACAATGTATTTGCATTGTCTACTTCAAGTTACTTTAAGAAATACCATGCCAAAAAAATCATTTATTTTCAGTGAGAAAATTTAGTTCAGGATTTGATTATTGTGTTGAAAACTTTGTTTTTATACAAAATGCATGTTCACCAGCTCGGCGTCAGAGGTCATGATGATGCACTTAAGCGCATGCAGCAGAATGATCTTATTTGTTTGTTTGTTCAGAGAGAAATCTCCTCGCTTTGCTGCGGACCCAGATTTGGATCAGGAGCTGAGCGAGCGTTTGGGTTTGGGCAGTAATGACACTCTCAGTAACGGTAACCGCGCCGATCTGGACTCTGCCAAACGTCTGGCCAAGCGGCTCTTCTACCTCCACGGCTTCAAGAAGTGCGACGTTGCGCGTCATTTGAGTAAAAAGTGAGTAAATCCTCTTCAAGTGTGTTCTTTTAGTGTTATTTGGTATTGTTAGTGCTGTTACTTAATATATGCCAACACTTTACAATAAAGTTTCATTTGTTAACATTAGTTCATGCATTAACTAACATTGAGCAATATGTTTTTACAGCATTTTTTAACCTTTGTTAATGTTAGTTAATAAAAATGTTTGTGATCATATTAGTTCACAGTGCATTAATGTTAACAGATACAACTTTTGATCTTAAATGTACTAGTAAATGTTAAGATTAATAAATTCTATAGAAGTATTATTTATTGTTTGTTTGGCAACTAATGTAGTTGACTAATGTTAACAAATGAAACCTTATTTTAAAGTGTCACCATACAGAAATGTATTAATATGCGAACACACACACATACACACACTATATAATTCATTCACATATTAATACATTTCTGTTTTTTCAATTATCCTTTTAATTTTAGTTTACATTTGAGTTATTTTGGTATGTGCTTTTGTCATTTCATTAGTTTTTGTTGTTTTTAATATTTCTATTTGGGTTTCATTTATTTTGATTTCATTTTTAGTAATTAAACGTATTTCAGTCATTTGACAAAGCAAAATTTCTCATTTTCATTTAGATTGTTCATCAATGTTTTTAATATTTAATACACTCCATAGACTCCATAGAATTTTTAATTGTTAAAAAACTTTCAGATTCATTTAGATTGACAAAAAAATGTTTTTAATAGTTTCAGTTAACAATAACAACACTGTTGCACATGTCTTATCAATACATTATGCTGTCATTTTTATTCTTGTATATTCTTGCATTTTTATATTTTGTTTTATTTTGTTTTATGTCATAAGCGGAACTAGTCATTACATTTTTTTTTATAAGATTCTGATCACAATAATGAATTTTCTTTAGAATAATGAGCGCTGACAGTAAAATCAGGAACAAGTTAGAAAGTAAATGCAGTCAGATTTGAAGAAGAAATCAATCCTCAGTGAGTTTGAGCATCTTCTCTCTGACCTTGTGGTTTGCCCATCTCTCTCTGTCCTGTGCCGGTCTCTGTGCCGCTGTTATATAAAGCAGGTTTTCTTGCAGCTTTTATTGCTCACAGCGTCTGTATTTTAAGAGCTCTTCTCTCTCTGACAGGTGCATCATGGGAATGTTCATCCAGCGGCGTATCTCTGACAGGCCTTGGTCGTGTCTGTCACCCTTCCTCCCTTGTTTGTTCTTGCATTGTCATCTTCTTTGATCGTCTTTTTCATATCTGACTCCCTTTTAGCAATGACTTCAGTCGCCTGGTGGCAGAGGAATATCTGCGCTACTTCAATTTTTCTGAAATGACTTTGGACCAAGCACTAAGGTCAGTACATGAAAAGTGACTTTCTTTTTGTATAACTACAAACAAAAATGATTATTTTTGAGCTATTATTGGAGTATGTTTTATAAGAAAATACTCAGTATAATCTTCAGAATATTACTTCACTTCAGTCTTTCTACTTCAACATGTCACATTTAATATTATTCTGTTTTCTCATTCATACATTTGTAATGTTTAATACAATGTTTAGTAATATACTATATATACAAGTTATGTAATAGTGTGTGTACGTGTGAGTATTATGATTTGTATATATATATAGTGTAATAATATTATAAATATTAATAAGCAATAATTTACTACTAGTAATAATTATATTAGTAATACTAAAGTATTAACTAAAAAAAATATGATTTGTCATATTATAAATAATATAGAAATAGAAAGTCAATATAGAAATACTGGACTCCTATGAAGAATCGTATAATTGTATTTTTATATTTCATTTTCACTTAAATTGTTGTCATTATGACACTGGTTTATAATATATATTTTTTCATCATTGTGTGTTGATGTCAGGGCATTTGTTTATTATTGTTTGTGTTTATTTCAGGGCATTTCTACTAGAATTTGCTCTGACGGGCGAGACGCAGGAGAGAGAGAGAATCTTAGCACACTTTTCCCATCAATATGTGCAGTGCAATTCATCTCTCACACTATCTGAAGGTACAGCTCTCTCTGTCTGTGTGTGTGTGTGTGTGTGTGTCTGTCTGTCT